CCTGCAATCGAGACCAACCTGTTATCTAAAATCTTTTCTCTTGCTCCAGTGCGATTGAGACTTATTCCCGTAGTTACCCGAACTACATTTGCTCTGATTTCTCATACCAGATAAGGATACGTAGGCACAAGGCGGCGATGTCTTGGTGAACAACCTCCCCCCCCCATCACCCGTAGTTTCTCGAACTACGTTGACTCTGACTTTCTCATATCTGTTGAGAATACATAGGCCTAGGACCGCGAAGTCCTATCGAGTTTCTCTCCTCCCCCCTTATCCCTTTTTTCCCTGTTGTTAACCTTTCTTTATCCTTTGGAACACTCTTATAGCAATAATCTTTTAAGCAAATATCTTCACACGTAGACAAACAAATGGTTTCCATCGAGTACGATGGATGTGAGGGGTGCTAATACCTTCCCTTCGCATAACCAGCTTCCGAACCCTTTCTCTTGGTTGCGAGACCATCTTATTCTTTTCGCTTTAGGGGTTTTCTCGATGTTTCCCCTTCCCCTCGTGGGATAAATAAAGTTCGATGGCGACTCTTCTGTCTTTTTGTTCTCGCCTCTCCGTCGTTGCATTTTTTCGAGTAGCGACGCTCATGAGTCTCAAGAGAGATTTGCAGGTCGTCTTTCCTCATCGTCATAACATCCTTCGATTCCTCAATCGCTACAACTACATTGTCAAATCTTGGTGTTGAAAAATGCAAGATTTTTATGACAACATACTGTTATGTTACTGTTTTTCCGCATGCCTTCACTTGATTCACTAATCGAATGATTCTTGTTGTGAAATCATTGATTGTCTCATTTTCTTCCATTTGAATCAACTCAAATTTACGCTTGTGATTTTTTGACCTCGACACCTTCGCCTTGTCAACCCCTGCATAGACCTTCTCTAAGATTTCTCACGCTTGCTTTGACAATTCGCAATCACTAAATTTTTCAATGTTTTCACCATCCACAAATTGATGGATCAAAAACAGCATCTTGAAATCTTTCTTCTTCCCTTCCTTATGTGTTGCTTATTGTGCATGTGTTCCACCTTGAATAAGGGGAGTCATCATGTTCTTGATCACTTCAAGAACATCTCAATAGTCAAACAACACTTCCATTTGCTTGCACCATTTATTGTAATTACTTGCATCAAGGATGGGTAGGTTTGCAGGGATTCTTTCATTGGAGACAGAATTCATGTTGCACACTATGTGTTTCTAGATCAGAACCAGACTCTTAATGCCAAATGTTGAAACTTTAAACCATAAGACTGGTGAACAATGGTGGAGAAAATTGGAGTGTGGAAAGTAAAAGAGAAAAAAACGTGTGTGTGTGTGTGTGTGTGCGCGCGCGTGTGTGTGTGTGTGTGTGTGTGAGAGAGAGAGAGAGAGAGAGAATTGAATTAACCAAAGATGAGAATGCCTTCAAGGTATTTATACAAATATTACAAAATGATTGAGACCTAAAACATACAAGTGCACAACTGAAAAATACAAAACCTCGGACTTGTAACCAATTACACCAAATGGCTAACCGGTTACAAATGACATCAAAAATAAAACACCTTTAGTGATAACCGGTTAACCTCAGCTGTTAACCGGTTACACCCTCGATAATTTGCCTTGTTTTTTAATTTAGAAGTGAAAATACTCCTGCTTTAATCAATGACAACACTTTTTAACAGCTGTCAACAGCTTTGTTTGGCAATAATAAAATTCTTGATGATGATGATGCTTGTAGTTCTATATGTGAATCCTGATTATTCAGTTTGGCTTCAAAAAGATAAAATGGTGTTTTATTGGCTGCAATCTATGCCTTCCATCAAAATCCTCTCTTGTGTTCTTAGTTGCTTGCACGCGCATCAATTGTAGGATAAGTTATTTAGCTATTTTCATAAACAAACGCGTGCACGAGAACGTCAACTTAGAGTTGAGATTCGTGCAATTATGATTGATAACTTATCTGTTCATGATTATCTTCTAAAAAATTGCACCATTGTTGATGCCTTTGCCTCAATTGCTGATCATATACCTTGCTCTCATCACATAAATGTGATTCTTAGTGGACTATCTACTGACTATCCTTCAGTTGTTTCAGTTATCAAAAGTAAATGTGGCCTCATGGATTTGATGAAGTGGAAATTCTTTTGATAGCTCGTGAATCTCGCCTTGTCAAATTCAAGAGTTTAGTTCTAGATATGGTGTCCCTCAATCTCACTCAAAATGTGCCTTAAGCTTCCTATACCGATGACTTGCAAACTACTAGTACTGAATCCTCTCCATCACAAATGACTCCACACAATCATGCATGATTACCAAGCTTTTCGTTGCAGTAAAACTAGTCGTGGTTAATGGCATAGGTAGAGGAGGAAGTTTCTCCAACACCAACATACAGTGTCAAGCGTGTTCTAGGTTTGGACACTTAGCTCTAAGTTGCTGGCATGGAATCAACCAACATTTCCAACCATTTGCCTCCAATGGAAACTCCTACATTCAAACTCTTTGGCAAGGTTACTCTAATCCTTATGGAAACAATGTGTGGATAGGCATTCTACATCTCTAAGGCATGCTCCTTCTATTGCAAATCCTCCAAACACCTTTATTGACAATGCTTTGCGCTTCACTTCTACATCTTGGTTTCTTTACTTAGGTGATTCCTATCATGGCACAAATGATGCCAAAAATCTTCAGCAAATCACTCCTTTTGAAGGACATGGCTAGATTTACATAGGAAATGGACATGGTTTGCACATACACTTTGCAAAGTATCTCATTGAATTAGGGATTGTGCACAGGATCATTTGTCCTCACACTCATTACCAAAATGGTGTGGTTGAGTTGAGAGAAAACATAGATATATAGTAGACCTTTGTCTTACACTCTTAAGTAAAGCATTATTACCTCTTACATATTAGGACTATGTCTTCTACACACCTGTCGAGTTCATTAATAGGTTGCCCTTTTCTTTCATTAAATTTGAAGTCCCTTATTTTTGTTATTCAATCTTAAATCTGATTACAAATTTTGAAGGTGTTTGGTTGTGTTTGTTTCTCTCTTCTAAGACCTTATAATACTCACAAGTTAGACTTTAGAGTTCAAAATTGTATCTTTCTTGGGTATTCCACTTCTCACAAAACTTATAGATATGTCTCTCCTAGTGGCAAGATGTAAATCTCATAAGATGTCTTGTTTAAAAAGTTAAGATTCCTTTATCAGGATTTATTTTCTAAATTTACATCTGCTCATACTTCTCCAGTAGAAATATGTCTCCTCATTGCTTTAGCCTCTTAATATCTACTCCTTCAAATACGTATGTCTTCCTCACCCCTAAATCATGCAACTATCTCCAAAACGGAGTCTATTCCTACAAGTCCCTTTAGTATATTTATCCCATCCGAGTCAGTTTTTGAGTCTATTCAACTTGATTCGTTCTCCTCATATGCCTCACCTTTTCAATCAGTGTCATCTTCCATTGTTCCTCACTTAACTCAATCTACTACTACAACCAACACTTCAATTTCCTCAATAAAAAGTATTTTATCTATATCACCCTTGGTTGTACCTGTAGCCCCCATATGCCTGATAATAATCATAGTATGCAAACTAGAGCTAAGTCTGGTTACTCTTCAAGACTTGAGCCAAGATTGTTGTTCACTCACTATGAGCTTAAAGTTGTCAAGCAAACAATTGTTGACTTGCAGTGAAAGTCAATTATACAAGTCGAGTATGATGCTTTGATTCAAAATAAAATTTGGACACGTATTCCTCTTCCCTCCCATGGACAAACCACTGTAAATGGGTCTTTAGGATTGAGGAAAACCCTGGTATAATAGTGCAACAGGTTCAAGGCCAAGCATGTTGCTAAAGGATTTTAAAGACATGATTTTGCCTGTAAAGAAACCTTTCAGCTATGGTTAAACTCATTACTATTAGGGTTAGGATTTTAAAGACATGATTTTGCCTGTAAAGAAACCTTTCAGCTATGGTTAAACTCATTACTATTAGGGTTATTCTGACCATTGGTATCACTCATCAATGGTCAATTCAACACCTTGATGTTAAGAATGCATTTCTAAATAGTTTACTTGATGAGAAAGTTTATATAGTGCAGCCTCAAAGTTTTGCCAGCTCTAATCCTTCACTAGTGTGCAACCTACACAAAGCCCTCTCAAGTCTTAAATAGGCCCCTAAACAATTGCTTGAAAGACTTCAAAGCTACTTGACTCAATCTTCAATTCAAAGCAAGCAAATGTGATCCCTCCTTTACATACTTCTCCAAGCAAATGTGATTCCCTCCTTTACATACTTCTCCAATGATCGCACCATTTATTTTCTAGCATATGTGGATGATATCATACTAAGGCAGTTCCAAGTCACTTCTAAAAGAAGTTATCATGCAGCTCAATCTTGCATTCTTTCTTAAACATATTGGTGACCTAGATTGTGTGCACACAATCAAATCAATGTATGATGTATCATTAGAAAACAATGCAATCCATGTATGATGTATAGTAAGAAAAACATTACACTAATGAAGTAGATGTCAGCTTTGAAAGGTGATTATTATAAACAAATGTAAAGCACCATAGAAGCAGGATTTGGAATCAAATGACACTGACACGCCCACTCATTTGATGGTTTTTAAGATTACAACCAAATTACAATTTCACTTGAACTAAGGTAACACAATTCCTATTCCTATATGGGGTGGGAGAAATAATTAATAGACAGCATCAACTAATTCATCAGTGGGAATGCAGGCAACAGAAAAACAATAAAGAAAATACGATCTGGGCCTACTTAGTTATAGAACTGATTAAAATATTTCCAACATGAGCACACATTTACAGTAACCTGTTGAGGCCTAGATATATGGAGGCAAAATTTACAAGCACTATTCCTCCTTTAAGGAAATTAAGAGGAACTGATTTTTTCAATTTCAAGTATCGCCATTTTTTCTATTTGCAGCAATTGCATTAAAAACTTCAGTTGTGAAATCATCAAGAACACATCATGCCAAGTACTTGAACAAATTTGCATTATCTTTGTCTCTTTCGAGGTAGTCTCTAGAGATCAAGTCTTCAATCCGCTTCTTAATTGCCTTGACATCGGGCTGTGCAAACACATAATTCCATATCAACAATTCAGGAATAGAGCAAAAACTGGCTAACAAACAAAATAATAGGTCTTGAAAGAGGTTAAATATGAACCTTAAACATGCGGCCTAACTGCTCAACGCACTCCATAACTAACTGTTGGTAACTCAAAACTTTCCGACTCTTCATAATACGAACAATTGAGGCATCAATAGCATATCTTCTGTCCTTGTCAACATCCTCAATTACTTTTTTTTTCTCATCCACAGGAGGAAGTGGAATCTGAACAACAAATTATGTCAATCTAACTCAACAGTCTATAAACCACATGGAAACTATGATAACTAAGCAGACAGAAACACAGAATAGATTAAAACAATTAATATTTTACAAATGTACCTTGATCCTCCTCATTTTGTCTGTAAATTTGGAATTAAATTCAAAATGATCAGTAGGTGATATTGTTTTCGTGCTTGGCTCCTTGGTAAGAATCTTGTACTTGGCACATGATAAGGAGTGAAGCAGTCTAACAACATCATCGTCAGTCAAGTTCAACTGAGTCATTATCTCAGAATAACTCAGTCTATCTGAGGAATTGAAAAGAAGCAGTGCTGAAGCCTATTGGAAAGCAAAAGATAATAACAGGTAAGTAAGAGAGAAACCCATACAAGAATTTAGAGATCACGCAAATTTAACAATGAAGCAGTAACACATAAAAGATACACTTTTACAAAACGGAGCAGGCATAAGAAATATAACCTGGTAAGTTGTCACAACCAGCTCCATAGTTTTTGGTTCAAATTTCCCACTTACATTACAGGTACCCAAGGAATAAATCCAAGTAAGCTTTCTGTGCTTAGTTTTTGTTTGATAAAATTCCTTGAAAACTTCTACACACCTAACCTAAATAGTTGAAGAGAAAAGAGTTAATTTTTTTTTAAATGGTCTAAATCTAAGACAAATTCTATCAAACATTCTGCCAATAAGTTCTGGGTTAATATGAAATAAAATAAAATCCAGATATACCATCTCTGCAGGGAGATTGAGGTCAAAAGATTTGTAACTAGGCCAAAAACCAGTGGTCAGAACTGTAACTGTCAAGTCAATTCCAGGGTCTATATTAGGATTATTGCTTAAATATTCTTCAAAGCTTGTTTGATTCTCCTTTGCCAGCGTCAAATCTGTAACCTGGTAGAACCCACATAAACAATGGAATTTTCTTTCATCGTTCTACAAAATAGTGGAAAATAGAATATCAGCTCCAGTGCAAAGAATTGAAAAGACTGACCATTCCTTCCATCTTTGAGGTAAATTGACCACCACATTGTTGCTTCAATTTTGTTAAAATACTCCTCTCATGGTCATCATTGGCACTCTTATCAAAAAGAAGCCTTCGAGCAAGCTTTTTCCTGCAAGCAACAAGGCAAGATTTATGATATTCTTATGAAAGTGTCTACCATTAGGAAAAGAGGGTTGACTTTGATGCTCAGCAAATAGCCACAAAACTTCACTACAATGATGGATTGCAGCAGTATCATTAATCGTGCCATAAAGATTCAAAAATGTTTTTGCGCAGCTTAAAACATAAATAAAACTGTAAGGTATGACAAGAAACCAAAACCAAAAAGGACAAAGCCAAGGAGGATGGGTTTGGTATTTCTGGACTTAACTATTTATAGAACAGGAAAGACATTTTCCCTCAAACTTTTGTTCCAAAAACTCTAAAACAGTCTGCATTGCGTTGAAACAAATCCTAATAAAATCCCAACACTAATGGTTATCACAAATATTTTCATTTTCTACGTTGCTTACCTATAAAATTCGGCAAACAAATCTTTATCACTAATATAGGCAAGTAGCTTGACAACCTGCAAATGGATCAAAAGAAATCTCAATTTCATAACGAGCATCAAACTTATAGATGCATATGGTAAATCTAAACAGATGCATAGCCGACCTTCTCAAGAGTATCTTCAATTGCTTCATCACTCAATTTTTCACTTCCTCCTTTCTTGAGAATATTATCACAAAAAGTGGCAAGCAGTTCGGCACTTGAGCTTCCAGCAACACCCTTGTTGCAAAAAATCTCAAAAGCTTCCTTAAGAGCCTATAGGATAAAATCTTTCAGATAACAAATTAATGCAGCATAGCAATTTTGAAGTCATTCTAAGATCATAACCTTGTGGAATAGAGTATGATTTTGGAAACAGTCGTTCACATATGCCAGGTACTTGTCATGCAGCTCAATCACTTTTCGAACAAAAACCTGAAGAGACCACTCCCAGTTTCCATAAATGGATCAATATCAATTGCAGTTAAACTATAAAATTAGAAAATTCTGACATTACCTGCTCTTGTAAGCCAACAATATCTCTTTTCTCTGCCTGCAGACATTTTAAAGGTAATGAAGTGTTAGAATCAACTTAAATTGCTTTAAAAGTAACCATTTACAGCTGAACAATAAGTAACTTATTTGCAAAAATGAGGAGACTAAAATTTGAAAGAAATGTTAGTCCGAAAAGCAAGACATGCAACCTACTATAAGCTTAAACCGAATGATGGTTGACTAGCTTGATATTAGATTTGGAAAATAAATAAAAATAAATAAAAAAAGGCCATAGGAGAACAGGGTAATCTACTGCTATGGCTCAAAAAGTCAAAACATGTATTTGTCCAATAACTTCTAGGAATGTACAAGATGAGATCTAAGGATTATTCTTGACGAGAACCAGTTTTGTGAAGTTGTGCATTTTCTCTTTATTTTCCCATCACGAATCCTTAAAGTTGTATAAAAGGCTTTAAATGATGGCAAAATACCATACAAACTCACAAAGTATACCTCAATGTTTATATAATTATTGTTAGTATGATGATAATGGTTGATATTTGTAAATATATATAGTGTTAAGAATATTTGTATATAGAATAGTCTCACATCGACTATATCATGTAATTAGTTGTAATCTATCTATATATAATAATGTCTCCGTAGTTCAAAACACATAGTTTATTCAAATGTCTCTTGGTCTCTTGTATTTCAAGATGGTATCTAGAGCCTCTTAAGAGACAATTCTTTCTTCGCCGTGCTTTACCCGGTTGACCCACTGTCTTCCGGTGAGATTTTTTTTTTTTTTTGCAAACTGTATTGTCGCTCCGGTTTGCCTCTCACTTTTCAAAATTCTCCGGTGACCACCCTGCCGCCACTACTGTTCCGGCAAAACTTCCGACGACGTTTCAGAAAGCCGACCCCACCATCAGTTTTCAATATTCTCCGGTCATAACCACATAGCTGCAGCCGTCGCTACTATTCCCGACAACCTTCCGGCAAACTTTTTCACCAGCAGAAACCTTCGCACGCACCCACATGCGTGTCTCCGCGCATGGGCATCACACGCCGCCATCTGAACTGCACATGACAGCATGTCCGGTAACCGATCGCGTAATACTTTCTCTCTTCAAATACTCATGGCTACTCCTCAAAACTTTACGCCCAACTACGATGATTTTCTCAGGTGGTATCAGAATTATCAGAACTCAGATTCTACTGCTATGGTAGCACAAACTGGTAATTCATATGTTTGTCTCTCTCAATCATCTCCTCTTCGACCTTGGGTCCTTGATTCTGGTGCGGATTATGTTACTGGTAATAAAAATAAAATTTATTCTCTTCCCTCCCTACCTCTTGCTTCTTACCTACTATAACTTCTGCCAATGGTTCTCAAACCCGATCCGAAGGGATTGGTACTGTTCAAATTCTACCTTCTCTCTCTGTTACTTCTGTCTTCTATGTACCTAATTGTCCATTTAATTTACTTTCAGTCAATCGTTTAACTCGTTCTCTTGATTGTAGTATCACCTTCACTAACAATAATGTTACCCTGCAGGATCGGAGTTCGGGAAAGACGATTAGCGTCGGATATGAGTCTCAAGGCCTTTATTACCTCTCATTGTCATCTCAGACATGCTCAGCCAAAGATTCCCCCCACTCACTATCCATGCTTAGTTAGGTCATCCCAATCTTTCCAAATTACATAAGTTGGTGCCAAATTTATCGAAGGTATCTAATTTACATTGTGAGTCGTGCCAGTTAGGGAAACACACTCGTAGTCAATTTCCCAATCGAGTCAACAAATGAGCTTCGTCCCATTTTGCTTTAGTTCACACCAATGTTTGGGGTCCCTCGCGTATTGTCTCTACTCTTAAGTCTAAGTATTTTGTCACCTTTATTGATGATTTTTCACGTTGCACGTGGTTATTTTTAATGAAGAATAGATCTGAATTGTTTTCCATTTTTGAACAATTTTATCGAGAAATAAGAACCCAATTTGGTTTGTCTATTCGTACCTTAAGAAGTGACAATGCACGTGAACATTTATCCCAACAATTTCAAACATTTATGTCATCCAATGGTATTTTGCACCAAACATCTTGCCCTCATACACCCCAACAAAACGGGGTAGCCGGACGCAAAAATCGGCACCTCGTAGAAACCACTCGGACTCTACTTCTCCATGGTAATGTTCCTCTCCGGTTTTGGAGAAATGCGCTGCTCACGGCATGTTACCTCATAAATCGCATGCCCTCATTTGTCCTTAATAATAAAATCCCTCATTCAGTCTTGTTTACAAACTCTCCACTCCACCCAATTCCTCCTCGAGTCTTCGGGTCTACGTGTTTTGTACACAATCTCTCCCCTGGTCTTGATAAACTATCAACTCGATCACTAAAATGTTATTTCTTGGCTATCATCGATCCCAAAGGGGTTATCGTTGCTACTCACATACTCTACAACGATACCTCGTATCGGCCGATGTTACCTTCTTCGAGTCTGTTTCATATTTCGAGTCCAACCAAGTAACTACGGAACCTACAGGAAAGTATTCTCACACCTCTTCCGGAAGTCCCATCTGTCATTATCCCCTATCATTCTAGGGAACCTGACCCACTAGATACCCCTATGGTTGAGGTGTGGGAATACTTTCCTGTAGGTCCCAAAAGGGTTATCGTTGCTACTCACATACTCTATAGCGATACCTCATATCGGCCGATGTTACCTTCTTCGAGTTTGTTCCATATTTCGAGTCCAACCTAGTAACTACGGAACCTACAGGAAAGTATTCTCGCACCTCTTCCGGAAGTCCCATCTGTCATTATCCCTTATCATTCTAGGGAACCTAAGTCTGATCTTCTGATTGTCCTTCGAAAAGGTATACGTCAAACACGAAATCCTTCTCCACATTATATTGATTTATGTTATCACCTTCTTTCCCCTTTGCAGTATACTTGTTTGTCTTCTTTGTCTATATTTGTTTGTCTTCTTCCTATTGCTAAAACTCCAGGTGAAGCATTATCTCACCCTAAATGGAGGCAAGCAATGATTAATGAAATGTGTACTCTTCAAAGCAGTGGTACATGGGAATTGGTTCCTCTACCCCACGGAAAATCTTTAGTAGGTTGTCGTTGGCTTTATACAGTGAAGGTTGGTCCAGATGGTAAGATTGATCGATTTAAAGCTCGCTTGGTAGCCAAAGGTTACACTCAGATTTTTGAGTTGGATTATAGTGATACATTTTCGCCTGTAGCCAAGATGACATCTATTAGACTTCTTCTAGCCATTGCAACCATTTGATATTGGTCTCTTCATCAACTTGACATCAAAAACGCATTCTTACATGGTGATCTTGAAGAGGAAGTATATATGGAGCAACCACCTGGATTTGTTGCTCAGAGGAAGTGTTGATATTTATATACTCAAGCTTGAGGGGGAGTGTTGATATTTGTAAATATATATAGTGTTAAGAATATTTGTATATAGAATAGTCTCACATCGAATAATCATGTAATTAGTTGTAATTTATCTATATATAATAATGTCTCCGTAGTGCTTTTCAAAACAAACGGTTTATTCAAATGTCTCTTAGTCTCTTGTATTTCAACAATTATTACTCCCCCCATCCATAATAATTGTAAATATAGTGTTGATATTTGTAAATATATATAATGTTAAGAATATTTCAACAATTATTACTCCCCCCATCCATAACAATTGTCTATAATAATCGTCACAGATGACCATTTCACGAAGATTAAGAAAATAAGATAATAAAAGAAAGAAAATGGTGATTTTAGTAAATTATCCTTACTAACTATTGGTGTGTTTTCATTGTCATAAATGTAAAGTGGAAAATAATAACTTGGAGTGATACACATAATATTAATTAGAGGTACGATTAAAAAAAGAAATCAATTAAAATCACGTTGGAAATTGAAACCGACAAACTTTTGTGGACAACTCTTTTTTCCAATGTGACAAATAACAGGGGGGATTCTAGTTGATTCCGCCAAAATAGAACTATGTGTATACTCTATTTCATCACTGTTATTTGTATTCTCTTTTGCAATGGTCTAATCACTGTTATTTGTTTTGCAATATACACCTCAGTTGAAAATTATCATTTCATCTTATTTGTTTTGCAACAAGACACAATCACTGTCAAGCAAATTTGAACAGGCAGGCTTCAGTGCCAATTATTGCAGTATTAGTTTCTCTCAACTATTGCAATTGAAAAGATAACCCTTCAACTAGAAATGAAGATAACTACAGAACTGAAACATACCTTCCTGTTACTTGCTGCATCTTCAGCCAACTTCACCAATGCTGTACCTTCTTCGGTAACATGCTGCATACACATAGACAGACCATCAGGAATGTGAGGAGAAAAATAGTATGCCTCTATTTTATTTTAATTGACATACAAGTGAGGAAAGTCGTTAATACAGGTTTGATGTAACAACCTGCTTGAATATACAGGAAACAGGCTCCAAGCCTCGGGGTATTTTAGAAAAGAGTCTGAACATCCTTGACAAGTCTTCAACCTAAGCATTTAAAGGAAACCGTGAAAATAAGTTTACGTCTTAAGATATGTTAAAAAACGTGTGCATGTTATGTTTAAATAATACCTTGTCATCTGTAAGTAATGAATGACATCCAGAATGCTCTTTTTCAAGAAGTTGGTATGCATACACAGATAAAAGCTCATGTTGAACTTTCTAAAAAGTAATATTTCAAAAAGAAAAGAGGCGAAAAAGTCAGACATTGAAAATGAAATCATAAGGAATCACAACAGTTATTAATAAATAAAAAATTCTTCAAGAATGTGGTATACTATTTGACAGTTTTACACCAAATAGATGGAATAACGGCAAGTAACGAATATACCTCTAATAACTTTGACTCACTACTAGAGTGTAGGTAATGAGCAACCCTATCTTTCTCCCGTTTCAAGCACTCCTCAGCCTGTAATGAAAGCAACGATATTAAACAGAAGCCATGTGATATTTTAGATGAAGGAACCAAGTTATAATCATCCCCACAAAGGAATGATACCTTGAGCATATAATCAGGACAAGAATCTTCTAGGATCCAGTTTGAAGCCTTTCGAGAATAATATGCAGAAGTGTCTTTGAGCATGGCAGCTTCAAAATCATTGTCATATTGATCCATTTGCCCCATTCCAATTTCAACAAATATATCTAAGACATTTTTTAATAGAGCTCGATCAATCTGCTCTCCTTCACGTTCTTGATCAATCTTTAAACAAAAAAGATTGGTTATTTACTATATATTTGTGAATACTGAAAATGAAAAACTTTTATAGTAAGGAAAGAACATACAAGAGAAATCACGGCATCTCTCACTTTCCCATTTATTTCCTTGTAAACCTGAGAGTGATAAAAATCACATATTAATGATTTACCTTGTCAGGAAGCAAGATTAAAATGAAATGATAATACATAAAAGAATAACGAATAATAACCGACACAGCACCAACTATGAATAGGTTGTAAATTTACAATTATAAAACTTTGAAGGGACAGAGTAGAATTACCAAATCACGGAAGCAAGTCAATCCAACTTCATTAAGCGGCGGAAGCGACCTTCGCGCTATAAAATATCGATCTAAATAGTGAAAGAAACGAGAAAGCCATCGAACCATAATTTTATGGTTAGCCCACCTCCTCACAAGTTCACGCAACATAAATTCATCATGCTTCTCTCTCAAAGAAGGCAATACCTAAACCCAAAAAAGTAATTTTCAATCATGAAAGAAAAGTTGAGAGCAAAAAACTAATAACAGATCATCAAACTATCAAATAAAGGATAAAACGGATTTCTAAAATTCTACAGTTAAAACGTACTAGAAATTAAATGAACCACATGACATCTCAATGTTGTCAATAACGAATGGCGAATTGTTAAAATTCCGCTATGCAATAGTTATATAGCACCGCTATAAATACTATTTGACAAAATTTTGTACTAAATAGCCTTTCACGGAACAATAATGGTTTGTCCTAATTCCGCTACAGTATAACGCCGCAGTAGTTTCTATTCAACAACACCCACCACCACCAACACCACCCAAAAATACCTTTCATTATAGGTCGATTGCATAATAATGTAAATGCTAGGTCATTGCCCAGAAGCAACGCGCTATTGGCTCAAGTACAATGTCAAAAGAGCAAGGGCCATAGCATCGCCGTCTGGATGTAGTGAATAATAAGCAAGGGTTCCCACATTTTTGTGAACGGGTGTGGGTAAAGAATTTAGTTCATAAGAGTAGGATGTGTTTTGAAACGTGGAATATAGACACACTTATCGAAAAATCTATGGAAATAGTGGATACTGTGGTTAATAGGAAGATCAATTTATGTGCCTACAAGAAACTAAGTGGAGGGGTGAAATGGCGAAAGAATTAAACAGCTTGAGTTTTAAGCTTTGGTACATAAAGCTTAGATACCGGGATGGTTTCCTCTTGTGTGTGTGCGTGAGTATAGGTGTCTGTTTGTATGTTCATATAATTATTTGTAAACAATACAAAAAGATTCAAATTCACTCCACGTTGGAATCACACATTCTAATTTGATTCTTTGAAGTATATGGCTCCTTCAAAGTTGAATCCTTGGAATGTGAATCATATCAACCCAGAATTTTTTTGCCCATGATTCTTTACTGGTCTGGCTGTCAAATGTGTATTTCTAGGGAGTATTGAAGTTATTCTCCTGTCACACATAGTTTCGGTGTTCTGCAAATGTTACATTCTTTGAGAATACAGCACTTAGCTACATATGACTCTCCCCTATCTCAAGGACTGCTCATTCCTTCATTTGGGATAATTTGTCTCTACCCATGAAACACCGTGTTGAATTGTATTCCCTACAAGCGACATGCCTACAAGCTCTAAAAGATTGCTCCTACTATTTATTTTTCCGATTGAACTCCCGCACCAATCCATTCTCCATAAAAGTGGATATTCTAAGCTAATTCATGTCCCAATAACAATTTTCTAAGTTACCATTGACTTTCACTCCCTCATTGCTCATCTGCTTCTGCTTCATCATCTATGTGCTAGTCCTAAAAAGGTATGAGTATTATCCCATCCAGAATGGCAACAAGTAATGATTGACGAGATAACTTCTATGGAATATAATAATAAATTGATTTTTGTTTCTACCTACTGTTGGAAAATTTATAGTTGATATTTTGAGAGTGTATACAGTTAAAGTTAGTCAAACTCCCAAAAAACAAGTGGACCAATTAAGATACTAGTTGGTAGCAAAAAAAGGTAGACTCATATCTCAATAGTTTGATTTCAAAATTACTTTTTCCCTATTGTTAAGATGGTATAAGGTCATTTGTTCTTGACTATGGATGCCATGAGGCACTGGTCTGGCCCATGGGGAGTTGTGAGCTATGAAGCATGGACACCTCTAAGAGTAAGTGTGTCGCAGTGTCCGTGTCGGATTCCATGCTTCATAGATTGTGAGGCTGCAGCGGTGCTGCATCTTTCCGTTCCAAAAGATTTGCTCTATATCAACTTACTCAAAAAACAAAACTATAACTATCTAGTCCGCGAGGAGATTGAATGTTCCAAAATATTGTTCAGTGGCAGATTCCTTAAAAGAACTAGGAAACACTAATTTAGCTACCTTTTCATTTTACGTTTACTATGTATAACCATCTAACCTTCTAAGAACTACATAATTGATTATAACACTTTCCTAAAAGAAAGAAAAAATGTGTCACCGATATCATTTCTTAGAACTCCATGAGCATCAGGAACAATCAGAAATAAATTGAATTTTGTTCCTATTCAACCTAAGCCAAGAGCCCTAAAAATTAAAAGATTGACATGATAGTATGATACTCACTAACATACAGCAATAAATTTGTAATTATTATTACCTGGTAGAGGAAAGTAGCAAACAAGTAATGACTTCATAACACAAATAAAAAATCAAATACATTCAAATAGGTTATCGTATATCAAATCACCACAATAGAATTACTCACTGTTGATATGATGTACTCTTCAAATGATTCCTTGTACTTGTCATACAATGGTTGGGAATAGTCATGAGGAGGCTTCTGAGTGCACATATTGTATATGGTCCTGCAAGGAAATTTAAGGATAAATAATTTACACAAAAAGTAAATTCTCCATCAACTCTCAAACAAAACCAAAACATCTCAGAGAAGAAGCATACGTGTACAGCATCATATAGTCATCAGAGGTGAACTGAGGTTCAGGTAGCCCTTCTAGAATATTCTTCAGCTTCTTTATTCCCTTCAGCATAAAATCCCATCCTTGATCTAAGTCGATAGTCTTGCGTTCACTCATGGATACGCCCCAACCTAGACACCAAAATCTGCAACCAAATATTTCCAAACTTCAACCAAACAAATAGAAAATCAAAAACATCAACTCTCACCGGGTAAAATCACGGAAAACAATAAATAAGCCTTTCTCCCCCAAACTAAACCCTAAATATTCTCAAACATAAATAAATTGCACTACAAAACCATTCTCAGATTTAACCAAATCCAGTTTGACAAAACCATGAGCATAACAAAACAATCTGCATCATCACAATCATAGAATTAGATGCTTCTAAAGCAATCCCTAAACTATAAAACGATGCCACCGTAACGGAATTCTGGTTGTGCAGGGAAGAAGAGAAAATTGAAGGAAGAAAAGAAACGTACCGTTAAGAGGTGAAGAAGCGTGAGCTTGATGGATAACTGGAAACCCTAATAACGATTCGGTGACGGAAGAGGCAAAAGGAAAATCGAGAACGATGAAGAAGATGATGAAAGAGCTCCAAAGACAGAATAGAAAAAATAAAAAGGAATGCAAATAAATGAAGAGAAAATAAGAAAATCGTACACCGAAAGCTTGTTAAATGTATTTTACTTTTTAGGAAGAAATTAATTGATGTTTTTAACTTTTTAGGAAGAAATTAAAATAAAAAACAATTAATTATTAGTGGCTTCTAGTACGAAGGTTCATTTAAGGAGTTTTTTGTTAAACTAGAAGCAAATACGGTCAGATTTAATAGTGTCTCAGATTTATTGAAATTAAAAATTAGAATATAATACATTACCACACATAATCCTTCCTCTATTTCTCACTTATTTCTCTCTCTTCATATTCATTCTCACATCTTTCTCTCCTCACATTTTCTTCTCACAACCAAACACATCCTAAATATTGGTAAACATCAACTATTTACTACCATCAACTATCTATCCATTAAAATAAATTATTATTAAACTTTCTAATATATCCTTTTCTTTTTTTTAATTAACAAATGCTACAAAAATTGAAACTATTTTCAATTGTCACCTCATTCATTTTTCACTTTTTATTTTTAACTTTTTCACTCTTTCTTTTCTTCTCTTAATTTAAATTTTAAATTTTTTTTACTTTTTCTTCTCACACTTTCTCACTTTCATTTTAATTTTTTCTCACTCCATTTTCTTTTTTCTATTTTCTTTTTTCAAGTATAAATAACAAAATTTAAACTTCTTTTTAAATTAATCAAGAAAAACACAGAAAAATGTTAAATTTTTAAAACATAAAATTTATCTAAAATAAAAACACAATTACTGTTCTGGCCTGGGCCCCGGCCTCACCTCGCGGCCCAGCCCAAAGATACACAATAAAGGCTCAATATGGTTTAAGTAGGTTGACCAGGCACGTGACCCCTCGACGGACAAGGCATGCTCCCGCCGAGCAGAACAGCGTGCCTCAAGACGCCCTCTGCGCTCTCCCCTTCGCGGGGAGGCGCTGCCAACCACTGTCACGCGTCGGGCAGAATCCCCATGTCGTCGAGTAGGACAACGTGTCTTTCCCACACCCTCGCGCGCTCCCCTCTGCGGGGAGAACAACACACCTCTGGGGAACCTCGCGGGCTCCCCTCCGCGGGGAGAGCAATGTGCCATGCGCACGTTCTCCACGTGCTCCCCTCCGCGGGGACACGTCACCAACTAACTGCCCACCTCCGAAAGAGCAAGTCAAACCCATTTTTCGGAGATCAAGGGACAGTTGGACTAGGGCGAATACCACATCCTGGTCTTCACTACGCCACGTAAGCCCTAACAGTCACCTGGGTTGGGTCTGGCAATCCAGCCCAACGCAAGTGACCGTTGGCCCAGCGTTGGGGTTTCACTATAAATACCCTCTTTCACAAAAGGGTCAGGTAATTCACTTCTTACCTGTTTTCTGTGCTTGTGATCACTCTGCCCATATACTTACTTTGGCATCGGAGTGCCTTGCAGGTACACCCCCTCCTCCTCATCATCACCGGTGAACAGACAGCAGCCCAACGGAGTGTGGCCAGCTAGTGATCCCCTTTTGATCAGGTCAAATCAATTACTTTATAAGTATTATATACTAGCATTCATACGGGCAGTCACGTGTCCGTCTGTCATCTTTTTTAATGCACACGTAAAAATTTAAATAATATTTTTTATCTAATATTAATTTTAAGTGAAAGTTAATACAAGAAAGTTATTAGTAGGATGTTAGATAGGAAATTATGTAGGAAGTTAATTGAAGTTATTGGTAAAGAAATAGAATATACCAAAACACCATATTTTCCCTTTATATATGTTATAGATAAAAAAATATTTATAATTTATATGATTATTTTTTATTTTATAATTAAGCAATTCAATTGAAATTAACATGTGTATCTAAATATATTTTATACTGTATCAAATTAGATAGCATTTAATAATAGTGCACACAATTAACTTTCAATTTCATTAGTCACTATCAGATTAAAATTTATTTTATTTTAATCAACAATTATCTTATTTGAGAGACTATTTTTTATTATTATTTTCAAATCTGAATTTTTTTCTTTCTTCATTTCACGAGTCTATTTTTTTATATAATTATTTAATATAATTGAATTTATATAATTATTATTCTTTTTAAAATTAAGTAATACATTATAAATTGACATATGTATTTAAAAATATTTTACATTTTTATCAAATTAAATATCACTCAATAATAGTGTACATCACTAATTCTTCATTTCACATGTCATTATCAAAACAATATTAATTTTATTTTAACCAAACAATTACTTTTAATTAAGAGACGAACTCTTTATTTTTAAATTTGAAAAAAAAAAGAAATTTAATTTTCTTTTTCATTTCAAACTTACATATGTATTTAAATATATTTTATACCACATTAAATAAATGTACATGTGCGGATACACAAATATCTTAATAGTATTTATTGAAAATTAAAAAGATAGCAATCAAATCGTGATTGCAAAACACTTTATTTTTGTTTTTAAAAAAGTGAAAATTATGGCCAGATTGTTTTAAGTTTTAAAAAAATATTTTTATAAAAATATTTGTTAAAATATTATAAGTTATTTTGAACTTATTTTTTTATAAATTAAAAAATTAATTTTAATATTTTATAATATAAATATATGTTACTAAAGATTAAAACATAATTAAAATTATAATTTTTTCAAGAAAATGTATCTCAAAAATAAATGTTGTTTTAAGATTTTATTTATATTTACATTTAAAGATTAAATATGATAGTTATGTTTGTAAATATATATGTGATTTAAAAAGATACTTAAAGATTATAATAATAAATGAAATTATTATTATCATTATTATTATTATTATTATTATTATTATTATTTACCATTTATTTGATTTCAACGCATAATTCTTTTTATTATTGATTCAATTCAATAAAATTTTATTACACAAGCAATATATCAATGAAATAAAAAAAAATTATTATTGATTCAATTTAATAAAATTTTATTACACAAGCAATATATCAATGAAATAATTTATAAATTTGTAACGAAATTATCACACTATTATTTAATATATACAAAGTGTTTTCTAAAAAATATACAAAATATATATGTTGATATATCAAATAAAGAGAATTGTCATTTCATTTCTAAGTTTTAGTTTTTACATATCTTTATTAGTTTAATTTTTCATTAAAAATAATTGTTGCATATTGTCATACCTTAAATTTTGATCAAACATTTTAAAACTTACATTCATCTGACTTAAATTTCACTTTGCATCATTTGTATAGTATAACATGTTTTACATCACGCCTAATGCCCAAATTATCAGTCAGAATAAATTTGTTAGATTTACAACCAAATCGATCAAATTGAAAGTCAACTGTGTGCAAAATTAATGGACAGAAAGTTTCAAAATTGAGCTTGCATACGTCATTCATTTTAATCTACATTTCGCGTAGTTTAACCTGGCGTACTCGTTTTAATTTTTGATGACTTTTTTTACCACATTTTGATCAGTCTAAGCATTTTAACCAGAGAAAATTTATTTCGAAATTTGACCAAACGCTGTATTTTTCTGAATCGTTTATTTCACACTGATCACTTTGGTTCATTCATTTTATTTTTTCAACCACTTTGGTACCCGACTTTTTATTCGTTTTTTTTTATCATTTTATTTTTATGTTTTAGTTAAATAATTATTTAACTTGTTTAGTTAATTAGGAATTTAATTTTAATTAAGTTTAATTTATTTACCATTTATATTTCTTTTCATTATGTATAAAAAAAAGTATTTGTTTTTTCTCTCTTTTTAGTGAACTTGTGTATTAAGTTTTGAAAAGTGCTTTTTTTATTTGCTTTATTTAAAGGAAACTCTAGTATTTAAGTAACATTGCTTGTTGTGAGGAGGACACTCAGGCCAATTCACACAAAAAAGGACCCCACGCGGCGCTAAGCAAATGGACCTTATGAGAAAAGCAACAACTTGCTTCAGCATTGCAAAGAAAACCACCTCACTTCATTCACTCAAAAATCATAAATCATTCTCTTATTTATACACCTTAACTAATCTCTCCACACACAACCATTAACACACTTTCACCATACAAAAAACACCATGAACGACTTTTACATCCTCTCACCAAATCAACACAAACTTCATGCCACAATCACATCAAAAACTCTATACACCTAACCAAACTAACTAACATCAACAGTACACTAACAATGTTCATAAACTTCCTCTCCATTAAACTCCACACGCTCACACAGCATCACCTCCTTCTTCATTCATTTTCTCCCGCACAAAAATCATCTTCAACCTCACAAAAAACCATCCCACGATGCAACATACTTCCTTCTAACCTCCCCTTAAGATCACCTCTGAACCATACTATTCGTGCTCGCGATCACCATACCAAAGCTTCACAACACCGTCAATTTCAAGCTACAACCATATCAAACTCCCTCTCTCCACTTCTTAATATCAAAATTTCACCTTCTCTTCAACCCAAACCAAATTCTCTCTTTT